TGAGGACTGGCAAATGTGATTAATATTTGATTAGATACCCCATGTTTGTTCTAACACGTACACCCTTAGAGGCACACGTCCAAGGGATGACAGTAAAATTGATCAGCAAATGAAAGACATTATAAAAGAGGTCAAGGATACATTCCTACACTCGCGTCACAATCACATCACATCCCAGCTCACTGCATGTCACCCAGCGATACCTGTAAATGAATATCACCACACGGTACTGCTTGATTTGAGACGCGAGGGCAGGACTGTACCCTAATCAATGTTACCATCTCTGATAGGACCGTGCTATACCCGAATCGATGTTACCATCTCCGATAGGACCGACCCTTAATCAATGTTACCTTCTCTGGTAGGACCATACCCTAACGTTACCATCTCCGATAGGACCGTACCCTAATCAATGCTACCATCCCTAATAGGTCCGTACCCTAATCAACGTTACCATCTCTAATAGGACCTGACCCTACTCAATGTTACCATCTCCGACAGGACCCCTAATCAATGTTACCATCTCCGATAGGACCGTACCCTAATCAATGTTACCTTCTCCATGTATCAGCTGAACTCATAAACCAGTCGCAGGGCCGGATTGGGGGATCACCGGTATGCTGTGGTTCAGTAGAAGTCGGAAAGTGGACGAGACCTTTGCTTTCTCTTCCTTTTCACCATCACATGAGGGTGTGGCTCCAGTTGGACGTCACATTCTGGTTGCTCACTTGCAGTACGAGGCAGATGGTCAATCCCAGTCATGGTTGAGGTCAGCTGCTACCATCCTGCAGGGGTTGTGGTTGTGGCAGCACCAGGCTGTCCTGCAGGTACCACGTCCTTCACACCGCTGTCATCATCTGACAGTGCAACGTCCTTCACACCGCTGTCATCATCTGACAGTGCAACTTCCTCAGCAGCCTCGATTTTGAGCGGGAATGAGTTCAGTGTAGGAAGATCAGCACCTGACAGGTTGGAACTCACAGACTCCTGCGTCTGACTGCTGCTGCTTCTGATGCTGCTGCTGCTGCTGCTGCTGCTGCTGCTGCTGCTGCTGCTTCTGATGCTGCTGCTGCTTCTGATGCTGCTGCTGCTGCTGCTGCTGTTGCTGCTGCTGCTGCTGCTGCTGCTGCTGCTGCTGCTGCTGCTGCTGCTGCTGCTGCTGCTGCTGCTGCTGCTGCTGCTGCTGCTGCTGCTGCTGCTGCTGCTGCTGCTGCTGCTGCTGCTGCTGCTGCTGCTGCTGCTGCTGCTGCTGCTGCTGCTGCTGCTGCTGCTGATGATGATGATGACGACAACGATGGTGATGATCATGATGGTGTTGTGCGACTGCTGTTGCTGCTGCTGCTGCTGTTGCTGTTTCTGTTGCTGCCACCGTGCTCTGGAACTTCCTCCTCTTCTGTAGCAGGTGGACTCGCAATTGTACCCTCTAATGCAGGAAGGCAGGGGAGGTGGGAAAAGTAGGTAAGGTGGGGAAGACGGAAAAGAGAGGAGAAAGGCAGGGGGGGTAAAAAAGGTGGGGAAGGGGAGGAGAAAGTTTGGGGAGGTGAGAAAGGCGGGGAAAGATAGGGGAAAGACCGGGTCTAGGGGTAATCACTGATTTTCACACGAATAGAGTAAAAACTATTTTATCACAGGATAAAAGCAACAATAGTTAGGAAGTTATGCACCTTGTCTGTCTTTCCACTGCTTATCCAGCTGCCTCACTTTATCCAACAGCTCCTTTGGAATGGGTCCATCCTCACGTGGCTTCAAATTTCGCAAGGCCCTCCACTTGTCCTGATGAGCGCAGGAGGGTTTTAAAAAACGAGAATATGACACGAAAGGGAGTAAAACGTGTGGAAAAAGGCACGTGAAATTAGTAAGGAAGTTGTAACTTGTTTGTACAAACACTTTCTCACATGAACCACCCCCTTTCCTGAGCATGTCAAATGAACTGCAAGGTGAGAGTCACATGCAAAATGTTGAGGCACCTAAGAAGTAAAACGGCATTTGAGGCGCATAAAAAAACAGTGACACAAGTGTGAACAGGGTAGAGGAGAAGACACGATGATGAGTAGAGGAGAAGATGAGCCGAGGGGACGTTGAGATGATGAGTAGAGGAGAAGCTGAGTAGAGCAGAAGCTGATAAGTGGAGAAGATGATGAGTAGAGGAGAAGATGAGATGATGAGTAGAGGAGAAGATGAGATGATGAATTCAGGAGAAGATGAGCCGATGGGACGTTGAGATGATGAGTAGAGGAGAAGCTGAGTAGAGCAGAAGCTGAGAAGAGGAGAGGATGAGATGAGATGATGAGTAGAGGAGAAGATGAGATGATGAGTAGAGGAGAAGGTGAGATGATGAGTAGAGGAGAAGATGAGTAGAGGAGAGAATGAGTAGAGGAGAAGTTGAGATGATGAGTAGAGGAGAAGATGACTAATGGAGAACGATCCTTACTCTGATGGTAATGTTTGTCCAATACTTGGAAGCCGCAAACGCCATTTGCTTAACTTCCACCCATCTGAAATGCACAGGGAGGAGGGCATTGGGGTTGAAATGAGGGGAGAAAATAGAACGAATCTGACATCAAGGCAATTAAAAGTTAGTGGATGAATAGCTGGACTTAACTCAACTCCCCTCGCACCCACCCACCCACCCTCCCACCCACCACTCAACCACCACTCATCTACCCACCCACCCACTATCCACCCATCCCCGAATGCCTTCCCACCCTCCCACCCACCTACCAATGCCCAGGACCTCCACGACAGCCACCAGCAACGCCACCTTGCCCACTATGAATAGTCACCTCCTCCCCACCCCTCACCCTCACTCTCACGGTCTCCCCACCACCCACCTGCCAATACTAAGCACCTCCACAGCAGCCACCAAAGCCTTCACTTCTGCCAGTGTGAACGGTGGGTTTCTCCCCCACTGCTTTTTCACCCCACTCACTCCCCCCTCCTCCTCCCGCCCCAGTCCATCACGAACTCCCCCTTCCTCCTGCCGCCCCAGCCCATCACGATCTCCCTCCTCCTCCCGAACTTGTGCCTGGCTCATCCGAAGCTTCTTTTCCACCGCATCCTTTTCTTGAGCCAGGGCCGCAGCAGCACCCGCTTGCCTAAGCTCTGTCTCCGCTGCTTTTGCCGCCCGGTCTGCCTCACACCGTATCTTCTCTCTAACCTCCTGCTCCCGCAGTCTCACTCCCTGTTTGAGCAACTTCTTTTCCTGCTCCCTCCTCTCCTCCTCATGTCGCTCCTCCCGGACATGCATCTCCCGGATTTGCTCATGGCTCGCCCAAAGCTGCTCTTCCACAGCAGCCTTCTCCCGAGCGAGTTCTGCAGCTTCGGCACCCACTTCCCGTCGCTCTTTTTTTGTCTGTTCCGGCTCATCCTGTGTGGTTTGAAAGCGGGAGCAGAGGGAGGGAGGAACAACAAGGGGAAGGAGGTCAGAACGTCAGGAAAGGGAGGTGGGAGGGAGGAAGGAAACGGCAAAGAAGAGCAGCAGGGGAGCACAGCAGCAGGCCAGAAAGGCAGCAGGACAACAAGGCAGCAAGGAAGCAAGGCAGCAAGGCGACAGGGCAGCAAGGCAGCAAGGCGACAGGGCAGCAAGGCAGCAGGGCAGCAAGGCAGCAGGGAGCAAGGCAGCAAGGCAGCAGGGCAGCAGGGGAGCAGGGCAACAGGTTAGGGGGGGCATCACACCTCGAGCCTGGAGATATAGGATTGCTGGCCATCCTGCTGGCGCACTACAGCCTCATTCACAACTGCCTTGTTGCGCACCTCCTTCACCCTTTCTGCAAACCTGAGCGTGCTGCAAGTTGCGTCGTATGACCTGCGGGTGAGGGAGGAACACAAGAGGTGGTATGACACATAAAGTTTCTCCTGGAGACAACTCAAACGGAGATGGAGGAGATGAAGCAATCAGGTCCGAGGACAGCTGCAGGTCAGGCAAGAAGGTGGTTAAGCACTTGCAAGAACAGGTTCCAAGCACAGGTGTAGAAGAAGCGTCAGGCAAGACAGCACGTGAACATACAATATAAACAGGTTGTGACAGCTTTACAATGCTGCGACTCACCTACAATGATACAAACACTCAGACAAACACCTCTCTGGATCCGCTTCACAGCTCTGCTGATTACCATTCGCCTGGGCTGACACACAGTTCTGACATGTCTCAATACTTAATCTGCAGCTGGGCTAACACATGCGATCATGATGGTTTTTGAATTTCCGCCCAAGGAGTCCTGCATACGAGGTCAAATGGTGGGGAAACGAAGAATTGAGGCGTCAGAAAAGGGACAAGGGGCAGCTGTTGAGTTGACTCAAAAGTCCCCGCGCAGGGAGTCCTGCATATAAAAATAATGGTGCATAGTGAGTGGGAAAGAGGCGTCAAGAAGAGGAGTGGGGGGTGGGAGTGGGCTCTTTTGCACAGAATGTTTCAAATTCCAAGAGTCATATAACTGGATCAAAGCACAGGGGAGGAACATTTTGGTTTCGAATGCTAGTCACGAACTGATCTCGCAGGAGTATTTTGCCTAGGAAAAAAAAAGGAGGGAGTATTTCACCTGGAGGAGCAAGGGTCCCACCTGGAGGAAGAAGGTGAGGTGGGAATCACGGTACGGTATGTGGCGAGGCTTGTTTTCCCTCAGCGATTGCACCAGAAGCATGATCACAATGCTGTGAGACCAACACATGCGCACAGGCACAGGCACGGGCACGGATGGGCACGATAAGTATGCACAGCATACACAGCCAAGGAAGAGAGGTGACAAACCCGAGCTGCGAAAGGGACGCGTTGATAGCGCTCGCCTCCTTGAGGCGATCACCCTCCGCCCCTGTATCCTTTTGCCTGCCAGGGTTGGAGAACAGTGGAAAGGGGTGCAGTGCACGAGGTGTTTGAAGTGGGAGGAGGAAAGTCATTACAGGCGCTGCGTGCGGAGTGGAGTCTTGATGTGATGGGGACGAGGCATGGGGAGGCCATAAGTCACGGAATCGTGCGGCCATAAGACATGGCATGGGGCGGCCATAAGATGTAGTATTGGGCGAATGGGATAATTGTGTGTTTTGATATATGGCATGCAGAAGGGTTGTGTCTATTGCGGCGCTCAAGGGTCAAGACATGGCAGGAGAGTTGCGTATTTTGAGGCGCCTCAGCAGTGAAGATATGGCAATGGAAGATAAGAGTACCTCTCAGAACCAGCGAGATCAACAAGATTGAGGCGACTGCTGCATCGACTGCTGTTGCCCCCTGCTGTCCACTGCAGTAGTGAGGAGACACGCACATTTGCACACACAGGCATGCAAACATGAAGAGTAAAAGCACAGAATGGCATGCACACATGAAAAAGTGCAAGCAGAGAAGGGCAAGGCTCAATCTTATCAGCACTCAATGTATTACCAATGCTGCACGTGAACTTCTGACTCAACTCAAGAGTCACCTTTGCACCCTGAAGCCTGTCAGCAGAACCCATCGTGCTTAAAGCCTACCAGCACCCACCGTGCACTCAATGTCGCAAGTGAAAAAACAGTAGGAGCGGCTGGATTTGTTGTTCAAGTTTGTCGCAGCCATTTGCCGATGCTCCATTCCCTGCACTCGCACACACCAGCCAATGGAAGCACACGGTTACAACCCACTCCCTGCAAAGAACAAGAGAAAATGACTGTCATGCTTGCCATACATTCTTGAAACATCTACACACGAGCTATCCCTAACTTACGGCATATGAGTCAACATCATTCACGTTTGGAAATTGGAAGGCTGCAGTAAAACTCACAACACAAGCCATTCGCACAAAACGGAGCTATCCGGCAACTCACCTGTTGCATGAGCTCCAAAGAATCAGCAAAGAGAATTTTAAGGCACCTAGATGTCAAGCTCTAGTTAAACCCACGAGAGCTGTCTGGAAAGAAGAGATAGCTTGGCAACTCTCTTGCTGTATTAGCTCCATGACTTGAGCATAAGTATTGACCTCCGTTTTGGAAAGGTTCTTCACGTATACACCGTTGGGCCCCTCTGCGATCTGAAAGAGATAGGAAGGGAGACACGGGAGGGAAGGGGAATGGCAGTTGTGCAAGACATGTGCGTGTGCGGGCTTGTTCTTGCAATTTTGCAATTTTGTACACGCTAGGCCCTTGTTCTTGCAATTTTGCAATCGCTAGGCCATTGTTCTTGCAATTTTGCACTCGCTAGGCCCTTATTCTTGCGATTTTGCACACGCTAGGCCCTTGTTCTTGCAATTTTGCACACGCTAAGCCCTTGTTCTTGCAATTTTGCACATGCTAAGCCCTTGTTCTTGCAATTTTGCACACGCTAGGCCCTTGTTCTTGCAATTTTGAACACGCTAGGCCCTTGTTCTTGCAATTTTGCACACGCTAGGCCCTTGTTCTTGCAATTTTGCACACGCTAGATCCTTGTTCTTGCATCTTTGCCCATGCTAGATCCTTGTTCTTTGAATTTTGCACACGCTAGGCCCTTGTTCATGCAATTTTGCACACGCTATGCCCTTGTTCTTGCGATTTTGCACACGCTAGATCCCTGTTCTTGCAATTTTGCACACGTTAGATCCTTGTTCTTGAAATTTTGAACACGTTAGGCCCTTGTTCTTGCAATTTTGCACACGCTAGGCCCTTGTTCTTGCAATTTTGCACTCGCTAGGCCCTTGTTCTTGCAATTTTGCACACGCTAGATCCTTGTTCATGAAATTTAGAACATGCTAGGCCCTTGTCCTTGCAATTTTGCACACGCTAGGCCCTTGTTTTTGCAATTTTGCACACGCTAGGCCCTTGTTCTTGCAATTTTGCACACGTTAGATCCTTGTTCTTGCAATTTTGCACACGCTAGATCCTTGTTATTGAAATTTTGAACACGCTAGGCCCTTGTTCTTGCAATTTTGCACTTGCTAGGCCCTTGTTTTTGCAATTTTGCACACGCTAGGCCCTTGTTTTTGCAATTTTGCGCACGCGAGGCCCTTGTTCTTGCAATTTTGCACACGCTAGATCCTTGTTCACGAAATTTAGAACACGCTAGGCCCTTGTTCTTGCAACTTTGCACTCGCTAGGCCCTTATTCTAGCAATTTTGCACACGCTAGGCCCTTGTTCTTGCAGTTTTGCACTCGCTAGGCCCTTGTTCTTGCAATTTTGCACACGCTAGGCCCTTGTTCTTGAAATTTTGCACACGCTAGGCTCTTGTTTTTGCAATTTTGCACACGCTAGGCCCTTGTTTTTGCAATTTTGCACACGCTAGGCCCTTGTTCTTGCAATTTTGCACTCGCTAGGCCTTTGTTTTTGCAATTTTGAACACGCTAGGCCCTTGTTCTTGCAATTCTGCACACGCTAGTCCCTTGTTCTTGCAATTTTGCACACGCTAGGCCCTTGTTATTGCAATTTTGCACTCGCTAGGCCCTTATTCTAGCAATTTTGCACACGCTAGATCCTTGTTCTTGCATCTTTGCACATGCTAGATCCTTGTTCTTTGAATTTTGCACACACTAGGCCCTTGTTCATGCAATTTTGCACACGCTATGCCCTTGTTATTACGATTTTGCACACGCTAGATCCTTGTTCTTGCAATTTTGCACACGTTAGATCCTTGTTCTTGAAATTTTGAACACGTTAGGCCCTTGTTTTTGCAATTTTGCACGCGCTAGGCCCTTGTTCTTGCAATTTTGCACTCGCTAGGCCCTTGTTCTTGCAATTTTGCACACGCTAGATCCTTGTTCATGAAATTTAGAACATGCTAGGCCCTTGTTCTTGCAATTTTCCACACGCTAGGCCCTTGTTCTTGAAATTTTGCACACGCTAGGCCCTTGTTCTTGCAATTTTGCACACGTTAGATCCTTGTTCTTGCAATTTTGCACACGCTAGATCCTTGTTATTGAAATTTTGAACACGCTAGGCCCTTGTTCTTGCAATTTTGCACTCGCTCGGCCCTTATTCTTGCAATTTTGCACACGCTAGGCCCTTGTTCTTGCAATTTTGCACACGCTAGATCCTTGTTCATGAAATTTAGAACACGCTAGGCCCTTGTTCTTGCAACTTTGCACTCGCTAGGCCCTTGTTATTGCAATTTTGCACACGCTAGGCCCTTGTTCTTGCAGTTTTGCACTCGCTAGGCCCTTGTTCTTGCAATTTTGCACACGCTAGGCCCTTGTTCTTGACATTTTGCACACGCTAGGCCCTTGTTTTTGCAATTTTGCACACGCTAGGCCTTTTTTTTTTGCAATTTTGCACAAGCTAGGCTCTTGTTCTTGCAATTTTGCACTCGCTAGGCGTTTGTTTTTGCAATTTTGAACACGCTAGGCCCTTATTCTTGCAATTTTGCACACGCTAGGCCCTTGTTCTTGCAACTTTGCACACGCTAGGCCCTTGTTCTTGCAATTTTGCACTCGCTAGGCCCTTGTTCTTGCAATTTTGCACTCACTAGGCCCTTGTTTTTGAAAATTTGCACACGCTAGGCCCTTATTCTTGCAATTTTGCACACGCTAGGCCCTTGTTCTTGCAATTTTGCACACGCTAGATTCTTGTTCATGAAATTTAGAACACAATAGGCCCTTGTTCTTGCAATTTTGCTATCGCAAGGCCCTTGTTCTAGCAATTTTGCACACGCTAGGCCCTTGTTCTTGCAATTTTGCACACGCTAGATCCTTCTTCTTGCAATTTTGCACACGCTAGATCCTTGTTCTTGAAATTTTGAACATGCTAGGCCCTTTTTCTTGCATTTTTTGCACACGCTAGGCCCTTGTTCTTGCAATTTTGCACTCGCTAGGCTTTTGTTCTAGCAATTTTGCACATGCTAGGCCCTTGTTCTTGCAAATTTGCACACGCTAGATCCTTGTTCTTGCAATTTTGCACACTCTAGATCTTTGTTCTTGAAATTTTGAACACGCTAGGCCCTTGTTTTTCGAATTTTGCACACGCTAGGCCCTTGTTCTTGCAATTTTGCACACGCTAGATCCTTGTTCTTGCAATTTCGCACACGCTAGATCCTTGTTCTTGAAGTTTTGAACACGCTAGGCCTTTGTTCTTGCAATTTTGCACACGCTAGGCCCTTGTTCTTGCAATTTTGCACTCGCTAGGCCCTTTTTCTTGCAGTTTTGCACACTCTAGATTCTTGTTCTTGAAATTTTGAACACGCTAGGCCCTTGTTCTTGCAATTTTGCACTCGCTAGGCCCCTGTTCTTGAAAATTTGCACACGCTAGGCCCTTATTCTTGCAATTTTGCACACGCTAGGCCCTTGTTTTTGCAATTTTGCACTCGCTAGGCCCTTGTTCTTGCAATTTTGCACTCGCTAGGCCCTTGTTCTTGCAATTTTGAGAACGCTAGACCCTTGTTCTTGCAATGTTGCACTCGCTAGATCCCTGTCCATGAAATTTAGAACACGCTAGGCCCTTGTTCTTGCAACTTTGCACTCGCTAGGCCCTTGTTCATGCAATTTTGCACACGCTATGCCCTTGTTCTTGCGATTTTGCACACGCTAGATCCTTGTTCTTGCAATATTGCACACGTTAGATCCTTGTTCTTGAAATTTTGAACACGTTAGGTCCTTGTTCTTGCAATTTTGCACGAGCTAGGCCCTTGTTCTTGCAATTTTGCACACGTTAGATCCTTGTTCTTGCAATTTTGCACACGCTAGATCCTTGTTATTGAAATTTTGAACACGCTAGGCCCTTGTTCTTGCAATTTTGCACTCGCTAGGCCCTTGTTTTTGCAATTTTTCACACGCTAGGCCCTTGTTTTTGCAATTTTGCGCACGCTAGGCCCTTGTTCTTGCAATTTTGCACAAGCTAGATCCTTGTTCATGCAATTTAGAAGATGCTAGGCCCTTGTTCTTGCAACTTTGCACTCGCTAGGCCCTTGTTCATGCAATTTTGCACACGCTATGCCCTTGTTCTTGCGATTTTGCACACGCTAGATCCTTGTTCTTGCAATTCTGCACACGATAGGCCCTTGGTCTTGCAATTTTGCACACGCTAGGCCCTTGTTCTTGCAATTTTGCACACGATAGATCCTTGTTCTTGAAATTTTGC